CTCCAGCATCCGGCAAAGAGGGATCTGTTACGGCGTCAGAACAAGGCGAAACGATGGCGGTATCAGGCCAAGACGAAGCTGGAGCGGTGCCAGGTCAGGACGAAATTGAAGCGATGCCATTCCAGGACGAAACTGCTGCAGCGTCAGTCCAAGATGAAACTTTTGCAGCGTCAAGTCAAGACGAAACTGAAGCGATGCCAGGCCAGGACGAAACTGCCGCGGCGTCAGTTCAAGGTGGAACTATAGCAGCGTCCAGCCAAGACGAAACCGTTGCAGTGTCAGGTCAAAGTGAAACTATGGCGATTTCTGGGGAAAACGAACCCGTTCTGGCGACAAGTACAGAGTCGGCGTCAGTGAAGGACGAAGCTGCTGTGGCTCCAGGGAAGGACCAGGGCGATGCTAAACGAAGGTGGGTGGGTTTTATCACGGATGCCGGTTCACAAACATGATATTTTGCTCTATTAACCTGACACATTGAATTTTGTACGAAATCGCATTCTCTAAGCTCTAAAGCAACAGCTAAACTACAAAGTTTCCGCCAAAGGGAAATTCATGGGACTGCGCCTGTGCACGTAAGGCAAATATTCATAAAAGGAATGCAATACCGCATACCAGGTTCCATACCAGCTTATGTGATTCATTGAACAAATTTCAAGTGCCAAAACCCATGATGACAGTAACGAGTATTACTTTTGCGTCTTTGTCGTTCAGGCTTCTTTCGAAGGTCCCGACCGTTTCAATTTCGTTTTCCTTGTTATTTTTTAGTATTATGATATTCATTTATTTGTTTATTCGATTCGATTGGTACTAGGCATCGAGTTTGGAGGGTGTGATACATACATCATCATTATATATAAATTTTTTCTAACGGTGGCCAGCAGTACATATAGAGTCAATCTTCTGCTGTGTCAAGTTCAATGGAGGTCGATCGGACGATGGGTGCCATATTCAAAGTTATCAGAGGAGGTCGTGGAAATTGAGATGTCGTGTGGCAGCAAAGCGAAATGGAGGGCTCGTTGAGAAGTTCTTTGCAAATTTTCAGGAAATATGTGTGGGCGGAAGTGGTGTAGTGGCAAGTGGCACGCTTACCACGCGAGCGGTCCGGGGATCAAATCCTGGGTCGTGAGTCGCCCGGGCCAACCAAGCCTTCCATCCCTCCGGGGTCGGTTAATTGGTACCAGACTTGTCTGGGAGGATAAAAACACTGACTTGTACATCGGCTGGCCCCGCAAGTCATTGTATAGGCCACATCGCATTCAAACGCCACTACGAATGTACAAATGGAAGTAGAATGCGTGCCGCATCCCAAAAAGGGATTGATCAACGGCAAATGCTTTATCCTTTTTATTTTTTTTGTGGGCTGTTCGGAATTAGAGCACTCGCCGTCTGTTAGCTTCTATTCATCCCTGCAACAACTTGCGAAGTCAATCGATGTACAAATCGCTTCCGTACGGCACCCGTGATATAAAGAAAGGAATATGAAAACAGAAAGGAACATCAAGAATGCCAAACAATATCATTGCTCTTATCAAGGGTTTTTGGCATTCGGAAATTTTTTGTTCAATAAATCACATTGCAGTTTGATGCCTTCGGTTGCTTTATAACAGATTCACGAAGGTCGGGGTAATGGTGAGGAAAATTTCCAGTTCTCCAGGCTAAGAGGGGTAGAAAAAAAATCCATGGGCGCTTACTGTCACTTTGCTGGTTCGAGCCGTCTTCCCTGTCCCGTAAGCTTCTACAAATATGAATGGGACTGGGATGCTTGTGGCATCCTAACCAGATCTCTGAAGGTTTATCCCACGATCAGACTAGTGTGACTCCTGCATATGGAAATGAAGGGCTGCCAAGTCGATTGTAGTGAAGAAAAAAGGAAAAGAGTCTATTGAGCGCTGAAGCTGATCGTAAGGGCTCACTCATTTTTTGTAACTCGGCTTTGCTAAGGCAATAAGACACTGGGCGCCTAGAGAGAGAACAAGTGGTAGAGCACAACGGACGGGAGAGAGCACTCAACAGATTGGGGATAAATGGAAGCGGATTAAGCCATCAAGGGAAGGTCCTGTTGAAAGCACACTACCGAGCCGAAAGAAGGGGCAGGTGGAGCTTCAATCAACAGCTCTACTCTATCCAGCAAAAGGATTGGTTTACTTGAATTTATCATGGAGTGTGCCTTCAGAGTTAGACACCCTCCGCGCAAAAGATTGCTATTGCGGGCTAACATTTTCTTAAGATTCTGCCTATTGTCAAATCACTGTTTATCGGCGCATTCAGTAAAAATGATTGGCTAACTGCTGCGAAAAACAGCTTCATGCATCCGAAAATTATAGTGTTCACTTAATGGAGGCACTTTGAGGGAAATACCACAGTCACCATAGATAGAGCAGGAATTGCTTGAGCGTATTAGCATCAAGCAAGGTGAGTCCTGGGGTTTGGTAGGATCCGCGACTTTTGAGTCATTTTATACTGAATTTGGGCAGGGTCTTATTCGAAAAATAATACAGCTTACCTCGCCTTTTATCTTGTTCTATTTCACCCAATTGTGGGTTTTCCTTCTTTATAATGGATCACGCCTTTCAACACTGAAAGAAAATACTTACAGAAGGAAAGACGATGCACCACCGGCTCCTAGTGCTATTAACATGATGGACCCGTCTCGAGCTGCCAAAGGAATCAGCTGGATTAGTGCTGCACTTTATCTGGTGGACGACATAGCCGGTGGCGGTATTGTAACAATACCTACGGCTATGGTTCGGACAGGTAAGAGATCACAATTGAAGTGATTTATTCAGAACCAGTTGGCGCCGCACGCATTGCGCGCACAGCACAGTTCTGCGGCGATATGGGATGGTGCGGCGTAAATTCTCGAATTTGGCCCAATACACTTCGAATATTTGACTTTCAAGCTGAATTCTATCCGATTGTCCCATGCTTCATCCACCGATGGCTTTTGACCTTCCCTCCTTCGTCCACCAATTGTCCGCCTTCGTCAACCAATTGTCCGTTTTTCCCGGTCTCGGACTGCCTCTGGACCGATTTATGAATCTCGTGGTAAACTCCGCCTATTTCTTTGCATGTCCCACCTATCTTTTTCTTCCTCGCCAACCTCTCCCACTTTTTCTCTGAACTGTCTCTGAGCCGATTTATATTTTGGCGGCGAAACCTGCTTTTTTGGTGTATCCTCCGCACACCATTAGAAATTCACTCCAGCTCCTACCGCTTTGAACATGCCCCGCCCACCGATAGCAGTTGGCTTACACTCCCCCACCCACTTTGGCCATGCCCCGCCCACCGATAACAGCTGGCCTCCACTCCTCCACCCACCTCCTATCCACCTTTTTCCCGGCCTCCGGGACTTCTTGGAGCCGAGTTATGAATTTTCGTCGCAAACTCCGCCCACTTTGGTCATGCCCCGCCCACCGATGACAGTTGGCCTCCACTCCTCCACCCACCTCTATCCACCTTTTTCCGGCTCTTTAAGACTTCCCCGGCCCGAATTATGAGGACTTGTAGAAAATGCTGTACACTTCAGAGCGCGCCCGCCCATTGTGGGCGGGCCTCCGCCCACGTCATGTATGCTGGGAACACCTTAGACATTGCTCCCCTACACCAATTTGTTTTCTGCTCTGTAGGCTTTCTCCCAACCGAGTTATGAAATTTTTCATAAAGCACTGCTTTTTTGGAGAACGCCCCGCCCACCGGGTGGGTCTCCCTAATTCGATGTGACTTACCAATGCACACCTTTACCCACTTTTTGGCCCAGTTTCGAGGTCGTTTTGTAAGAGAATTGAAATCTTGGTCGTCAGTACACTTCATTTCGACGCACGCCACGCCCACTGTGGGCGGGGCTCCGCTTAGCTGATGTGTGTTTTGTACTTCGTGAGACCTTGCCCACCCATCCCACACTTGACCCGGTCCCTCCAGGCGGATCCCGAGGAGCTAGGGAATTTCGTGACAGACATACAGAAGACAGACGACAGACGAAGCGCTTTATAGTAAGTAGGATAGGTGAACTGTCGTTACTAGGTGTGGTGTTTCCAATCTTTTGGTTTGCATCTTATTCCGTTCATCTCTTCTTTATATCGCTATCGAGTGTTAAGGAGGAATTCACGATAAGAACGAAGGTCAAAGAAGGGGAAAATTGCATAGTTGGGAGACAGGCGGACCTCCTGAGGGTGCTGACCGACGCGCAATTGGCAGCGAAAGATTTGACCTCGGCGATCTAGCATGGCTTGGCGGTTGGCGGGGTACGCCCACCGACTATCTAATCACTCGCCGCAGGTCTATACGTGGCGAGTGATTAGATAGCAGAGAGAGCGTAGTGTTGAAGAGGGCACAGCGATGAGAGTCGCATCAATGCGCAAATCAACGGGCAAGGAAGGGGTCCCATTTCTCGGGTTTCGGGCCGTTTCAAATGGTTTCTTCTTCATCCCTGCTCCACTGACCACCTCTACCCTTATTTCCAACAATGAGCTAATTTTTCATCGTAAATTCTGCCTTTGAAACACCAACGAAAAACACGCAACGAGAATGCTTAAGGCACTGGTGGGCGATAGTGATCATATATTCTGGAGCGCAGTGCGGACTCGATGACTCATTGATCACAGGTGGACAAGACCACCCAGTGCGCTGTGGAATGTGGTTGGGACAGTGTCAACCATACGTCCGCACTACTGAAGTGAGGGGGTCGCATTTGTGATTTTGGTAAGGGAGGTCGTCATTGGGGAGCCTTTTAAGACTGATGATGGTAATGGTGGGGAGTCTCACCAAGACCCCTTAAGGGGGTCGTAAAATTTTTGGAAAAGTGTGTACGCGAAGTTGATCCTGGTCGAAACGCCTCCTGACGTCCTCGCACCAATGGCATTCTATGATGTCATAGAAAAACGCAACGCACTCCTGAAATGCCTTTATGTTGATGTGACAAAAACCAAAATGTGGTCAGTCATCATGGCCAAAAATCTCAGATCATCGGATGAACTAGAGAAATTTTGCCCTGCTCTGCATTCATGCCAAGAAGCGCCTCACCTTCTGTGAGAGGCCGATTCCCTCCAATGAACGTTTCTCAGCGGGCCACAGATCAGGTTGGAGATGAGTAATTATTCTTCACCACCGACCGTCTCTTTGCTAGACGGTCAGAAACAGACGGCAATGGGTTGCCAATGGCGGGCGTGCAGAGACCGAGTGGCGCGACTATGTCCTCGCTAGGCTGATGGAACATTTTCTTCGCTGCAAAACGCGCATCGTCCTCCACGTTTAGGGGACACTTGCCTTTCGATGGTGTATTTTCACTCCTCCAACCTCCTACCTTCTCGTGTAACCTTACTTAAGTAGCAGGCGCAGATCAATCTCCAGAGAGTAGGCCGTGCATGTAACACAAGATCATGGTCGTGGAGTATGCCTATAAATTCTGACGTCTAGCATGAGTTTTGAGCACACCTAGTCTCAATTCAGTGGTTTCATCCTTTCTAGGAATCTGACCATGAGCCTAATTCACCCATTCCACGTTATTGGCGTTCCATTGGCCTGAGGGATTCATTCTGTCTAATGGGTAGGTATAAGCGGCACCTATACCAGCAACGCCAATCACGGCGTTGTTCGAAGCTCTATAATACTAAACTCCCTCCCTGTCCCCAGACGTTGCTCACTTGTACTACAATTCCATCAGCCGCTGCTACGACCAAAAGGGCAGAAGAAGTAAGACCGTACATGCGGTGAGCCATTCCAGCAGGCCATTAATTTGCTTCATCTTTCATGCTTAAATCGTGCGGAACATTAATGGTGATAAGCGAAGAGAGTTTCTTTGAAAGTGGAGAAAATTCGTTATCAATTTATAGTTTACATGAGCGATACGACACTTCTTATATGGAGGAATCTAGAGAACGAACAGAATGGCGTCGTATTCTCTGTCTGTACACAAACAAGTGAAAAACAACATAACAAGCGCTCGCATAGCGCAGCGGCAAAAGGCGTTGCTCGTCATTGATGCAACCAATTGGGTTGAACTCCATCCAAGCGGCACCTATACCAGGGCAACGCCAATCACGGCGTTGTTCGAAGCTCTAAAATATAATACTAATACTAAACTAATAAAAATATAATACTAAAACTAAACTAAATACTAAACTCCCTCCCTGTCCCCAGACGTTGCTCACTTGTACTACAATTCCATCAGCCGCTGCTACGACCAAAAGGGCAGAAGAAGTAAGACCGTACATGCGGTGAGCCATTCCAGCAGGCCATTAATTTGCTTCATCTTTCATGCTTAAATCGTGCGGAACATTAATGGTGATAAGCGAAGAGAGTTTCTTTGAAAGTGGAGAAAATTCGTTATCAATTTATAGTTTACATGAGCGATACGACACTTCTTATATGGAGGAATCTAGAGAACGAACAGAATGGCGTCGTATTCTCTGTCTGTACACAAACAAGTGAAAAACAACATAACAAGCGCTCGCATAGCGCAGCGGCAAAAGGCGTTGCTCGTCATTGATGCAACCAATTGGGTTGAACTCCATCCAGTCAAGCATTCCTTACAGAGGGAACCATTCAAAGTAAACTTGTTGCAGTTAAAATTTAATCAAAAATCAGCCTCTGTCCGGTGTTATTGTGGAAGTGAAATGCGTCTCGGTTGTTTCTACGATTTTGGGGTCGCAGGCACTGCAGGCAAAAAGTGTGGTTAATTTTCGGCCCAAAATTTGGTCCGCCACAGTCTAACACGGTAATAAGTTTCAAGGTGCTGCCTGGTAAGTGGCACTTCCTACCAAAGTCAAATTTTTGATCGAATCTTTCCCCGCAGTCAAAATCCCCATCCTTCCTGATTCGATTACTTGGCATCAGTACAAATCTGGGAATATACATAAAACTAGTTTGTCATCGGCTGGCCCCCGCAAATCGTAGATTAGGTCGAATCGCTTCATTTCTCAACCCTGCGACTTTTAATCAGAGTTCGTAGATATCCTGATAAAGTATCAACGCTAATGCTTAAAGCAACACTCCTAGAAGGGTTCATATTTTGGCTACTAATGGGATGGCAAGTTGCGTGAGGCCTTGCTCAGAATATATGAAGGGCCGCTGAGGAAAAAACTCTTCTTGGAAAGCCTCTGGTAGGAATTTGCATATGCGCCAACTCGTTTTCGTCGGACCCACCTATTTGCTAGGTGTGCAGATCGCGTGATTGGCTGCGCGGTCCTTGCGCGATTACGTGTGAACTGCAGCGCGTTGGATGAATGCTGTTGGTTTTTTGATTGGTTTTAACTGCTCAAATCTTTTAATTATCGTGTTTCTTTGTTTGTATTGGTGTAAAGGTTCTTGGTTGTTTTGGTGCAGATGATTACAGCCGCATTTCTTGCTGGCACGAGCCAGAATTGAATGACTCGTGCCAGCATTAACGACAGCAAGCTTGTTCGGACAGCTCGTCCGGCCACACCCCCTCCTTCGCGTCTGGATGGTCCATGGGTATGACACCAAGCCTAAACACTTTTTTGACATGACGAACTTTACTGACCATATTCTACTTCGGACACCCAATCCGATAAAATCTTTCTCTCTTTCTCTCTTTCAAAATCTTTCTTAACAAAAATGACAAACTGATGCATAATTCTATATTTATGGGTTTTACCCTGCACTCAAGACAATACGCAATGAGAAACAAGATTCTTATGAACTAAACCGGAATATTAGTGAAATATGGAACCGATAGAACGATGACTGATAGATAGTCCTCAGCATTAGGGTCCATGGCCAGTGAACACTCGAAGTTGAGACGGTCAAAAAACGTTCTAAGGACCAAAGCCCCACAGAACCGCAGCGCAAATAATTTGTGAAAGATAACCGCTCGAAGCGGGTGCAGAATCAAAAGAAGTGGGGTAGGACCGTTACGAGAGCCACTGCCGTCACGATGGTGCGATTCCCGCACGGTCATGTTGACGTCAGGATCCAATAGCTACGCTGACCACCGGTGTAACCACACTCGAAGGTCCTACGGTCCTCGCGAAACATGACACCCTCCTTATTTCACGAGAAACAGTGAGTCCCTGTTCGTGGGCTTCATCGGCGTTTCTTTCTTCTTTTTTTCTCGTTAGCAGTAACGACAATTCCATTAACGTCCACCTTTACCCCATTGAATTGATTTGAGGATGTTGCTTTAATCCTTTTTGTAGTTTTACAATTCAGATCTCTATCTTGGCTTGGTGTTCTTCATAGTGTTGATGAGCACCACAATGTATACAGCATATGCGCTCGGGAATTGTTGGAATATTTTACGCAACAACTGGTCAATCTACAAGGTACACTGCCGCAAGCCGTACCCATCTATCGGCTATCGAGCAATAGGTCCTAAATGCAGGTAAATTGGATCGATATCAGAAATGCTTCGGAAATAAAAGATGCTCTTCACAATATAAGATAATGCACGTTGTTATGCGCACAAGATAGTTCTGTGGCGATATGGAACGGTGCCGCGAAAATTCTGAAACTCAACCCGATACACCACGAATACTTGGCTCTCCAATCTGAGCTGGATTTTATCCGCATTTTCTTTGGCCTCCGTGCTATCTCTGGACTACGTTTGGATCTCGGGTTTTAGCTCCGCCCACCGATTACTTTTGGCCCTTCTTCTTCCGTCAACCATTGCCCGCTTTCCCCTGATCCCTGAGCTGTCTCTGAAACAATATATAGGAATTGTTGCAAACTTCGCCCATATCGCCCAGCCTTCACGCCCAGCCCATCCATCCAGTCAACGCCCTTTCCTTCTAACACCTTTTACCAGTTTTCGGGTCTTCCTGAAATTAGAGTGACAAGTATGGTATCAAGCTCCTGCACTGCACGCTGCAGGCCCGCCCACCAATAGCATCTGACCCTTCCTTCCTCGACAACCTCTGTTTACTTCATCCCGTCCTCTGGCCTGTCTCTGAACCGAATCTTCCGGAACTTCTCAGAGCCGAGTCATAGGTATGATATCGTTTCAGAAAATTTGTCTCCTTTATCATCGATGTCAACCAGTTCGGAGTGTCGACCGTATTTGTGCTCTTGTCGTCGAAAACAATTCACGACATGGTCAAGGTGAGGAAATGAACGAAACAGGACCAGCTCACCTAAGTAAAGTAATCTTTTCAAGACGTTAACCAGTACGGATATCAGCTACTGTTTTGTTGTTCTTATAGTAGCGGTTTGCCTTCTACCAGTTACCTGGCTCAAATCTCCCCAGGATTTCTGGTAAGTTTCGTCTAACAATGCAGCGTCATAGGCATACTTTACGAGCGCTTAGTCAACTATAGTAGAACTTTCTTAGGGATAGGGCTGTTCACAAACGAACACAGATCTGCCGTTCTCACAGCACGAAAGTGTGGCTTCTATTGCACGCTGTACAGTGTCGTACGGCGTGCCCTCTCGTGTACTCCTTCTACTCGGCGCACTGCGCCTCTCCTTTCAAGTACCATAGACCTACGAGAGGGAAACCCTGAATTTACGGGTCTTTGAGACGATGCTTTGCTTTTTAATTGACTACCGATTTTCGTCACAATTCCACTCGCGACGACAGTAAACACAACAACGACAATTTTTGATCGCTTAGTGTGCCTTTGAGGTAGCATGAGGCTAGAGTGCTGTAATACGCTCAAAGTGTGAATGATTCTGGAAGTTCTCATAAAACGAAGCTAGAGCAATGATAGCGAAGGATGAGAGATGGAGTCAATTTGGTACGTTGTTGGTGAAATAGCGTTAGGAAGCGGTTTGACCACACGCTACAGCTGTGTTCGCCGTTCTCCAATGCCTCTCTTGCGATAATGCCCCATTGACTCTGACTTAAATCCGTCGCCATCTCTGCATTCAAGCAACTGACCGATAATTGAATAAGAAATTGTTAGGTTAGCTGTTATGGTGGCAATGCTCACTGTCTTCATCGCAATCATACTTGTCTTTGTTGGAATCGCTCTCGACTATGGGTTATGTTCACCTTATACGTAAGCGAATTTCCAGTGTATGCCATTGTATTATAAATAGCGGAAACGTTATTTGTGATTCCAGAGATGTGCCGCCAATTACTGCGAAGAATCTATTCCTCTCCTTGGGTACGATAATGTTTGCCTGTGGTGGCCATGCCGCCTTCCCGACGGTTCAGCATGATATGAGGGATCCAGGAGAATACACTAAATCCGTTGTTAGTGCTTTTATTGGTAGGTTTGTTCTCGTGCCTTCGGAGCACCTTCATTCCTACGTAACATATAAAATTGCACGCGCCTGCATGTATCGTAGTTGTAGGGATCATGGAAACAGGTTCTGCACAAGAGACTAATGGTGGTGTTGGGGGACCTATCGAGACCTCTACAGGGCTCTCGTAAAATACCTGGGAAAATGCGAGCGCTACGATTGACTTTGCTCGCACATCCTTCGTTTGACTAGCTGGACTTCACCAGTTGTTGCTTAGCCCCTGGTCCAAATTGCTATAGTAGGCACTTTGAATATTAACTGGAAAGCAGTGGAAAACAAATTCGTAGAAAGCAAATGAAGGTCGTCAGACCCAACCCCGATTATTGCTCAAGGAGCTTGCGCTGTGGCGCGCGCTACTGATCATGCGCTGGTGGGTAACCGCATGTGAGATAGGCATGTGCAATCGGACCAATATGGGATCCACAACATCGATGTGCTGGGGGCGTGGGAGAGAGCCGTATAAAGGGCACTCTTTTCGATATTGAGCGGTTCTTCGTCTTTATCGACTCCCGATGCGTCCCTGGTCTCAGAAGAAGGGTCAATCTCTGCTTGATTGCTGATCAAGTCTCTAGCAGTAAGGGTTATGTGTCTACGTACATAGCACTAAACTCCTCTCCGGGCCCAGAGTGGAAAAGAGAGTTGTTGGTTCTCTAAAGGAATTCGCATTTGCCTCCCCAAACCTTAACAACATTGTTATTTTTATCATCACCTCAAACGTTATGTCTGTCCCTTGATTGATTTTGTTCTTTTTCTGTATGCAAAAATTGGTTTTTTATTATCGTTCACTAACCGAGCTGAAACCGAGCACATATCAGATCGAAACCCGAACAACGGACCCTCGGAACTATTATATTAGTGGAATATCAGGCGTGAACAGCCCACCAAAGGCATCATCCATAAAGCATTTACACTGACGAGGTTCTGTCCCTCAGAACACAAGGCTTTGAGTCTGGCCTCTACACGGCCTCCACATCAACAATTAATAGTAAGAGAGGAAGATACCTCAGCGTTTGACCACTACTGTTGGTCAAACGCTGAGGTATCTTCCTCTCTTACTATTAATTATTGATCATTTTCAGCGCTTTTCTCACTATACGGCCCCGTTGCCATCTTCGGCTATCTAGCCTATCACGGCGCTGTGAGAGACTCAATTCTACCATCGGTTCAGGTGCATTTTCTAATTTTATCTTGATTAGAAGGTTTATGCGGGGTTACTTTTCCATTTTCTTCGGTAGCTGCTAGGACAACTGAAAGTTATGAAATGATACAATTATTTTATCAATTTCAGGCCGAGTGGATTCAACATACATGTAATGCCCTTATAACCATACATTGTATTCTGACGGTAACCATCATTATTAGTCCACTGAATCAGGATCTCGAGGATCTATTCCACTGTCCACACTGTTCGTTCACTTGAGAATCGGAAAATTCACTAGTTTAGCTCTTGTGGTTGTTTTCATTATTCTTTTTCAGATTTCGGCTGGCAACGAGCACTAATTCGATCGGCAACCATGTTGGGCATTGTGATCGTCTGTGAGAGCATTCCAAATTTTGGCCCAATCTTGGACCTTATCGGTTAGTTCGTAATGGATTAGCGATAAACAGGTTGACCACTCTGTCTGAGATGCGCAAAACAAAAGATTTCCGATCGGAAGCCTAAATTCTCTTAAATCGTCCCTTCACAATTTTTTTTGAATGGGCAAAATGCGACTTCTGTGATGTTCTGATTCTGAAATGAATATTTGACCCTGGTTCTGCAGCTATCATTTCAAGTAGCCCCCAGGCTGCCCCAAATCTTATACTTTTACTTCTATGGATATTTTCAATTTACACTAGTTTTTGAGCATTCATTTCAGGTGGCTCCACAATGACTTTGGCATCTGTCATCCTGCCATGTGTATTTTATCTTTATTTACTCGCCAGAGAAGAAAAGGCAAAGAAGTTCGGTAAAGTTGATGCACCACCGAGCTTCACAGAGTAAGTTTCTTCTTTTCACAGAAGGCATTGCAATCAATTTCTCGCAGATCTCAAAATTCACGAAGCTTTTCTAGTGTTCTCAAATATGCTCCGCGAATAACTATAGCCATATGTTTCGGTATAATAGGTAAGTTTGAAGATGTCACTTACATTTTATAGCTGTTCTTTTTCTTCGCTTCTCTCTGTCGCCGTATACACTGCTGTTGTTAGGTGACGCAAGTTCTTCATTTGAAGGTGTCTATGTATACGGTGTCTGGACTTCAGTGAACTCCACCGTGATGACGATAATTCAGCACTTCCCTTGCCGTTGGCTTTAAAGTTCATTACTCTTCTGCGGTAGCATCGACCGCAATGTGAGGAAGCGCAGATCTCTGACGTTCTCATTTCCAACCTTGCTAATACAGAACGGATCACATTCGTTTGTCACTTTTATCTTGCTGAAGCACCAATCCTTGATCATTATCAATGCATTTCGTCCATCCGCATTCGTCTAGGTCTCCACAGTCTGAACCAGGTGCCATCATTAGCTACACAGGTCTTCTACCGTATTCATGTTTTCCCTGTGGCTAGCCAGGATCAGATGTCTTCACGCTGAAAAATTGGTCTCCTTCACGTTTACCGAAATTCTATGTGAACACTTCCTGCCTATTTGGCACACTCATCTCCAACACGTTGACGACAGCATGCAGCGCATGCGCTTTGCATTTAGCACCGTGTAGGACGGCGTAGTAGAGGCGCTACGTAAAGTAAGTGCGAGCCTACGCGTTGAGCAAGATTTGTGCCTTACGATAAGTTTAGCCCATCGAATATTATTGATAACATTGATCGCATCCACGTTTTTTGTAACAACGGCTCGAAATCTATGGATGCGATGTGAGGCAGCAGCGCCTGCACAATCCTCCCGGTTCCACATCATCCCATCGGCGAAAAATCCAAAATTCCGCGCTGTCGTCAGTGTGGTAGAATGATTGTAGCTATTATTCTCGAGGAGCTCTATTTTACTATCATTATATTGTCCAGGAGACAAAAGGCCTCCAGATGTGATCCATAATTCCGTCCTGGCTCACAAATCCGTGTTGGGATGTATGTATGATCACATGTCATTATCACGCACTCGTACGCAGCCGTGGGCATGCTTCATCAGAGGCACGCCTTTTTTGTGTGTGAAACAGAGCACCATCTGGTACATGAGCCTGTCACGGGACAAGAAGGCGAAGATGCGGCTTGGCGAACGAGTTACAGGGCGTATTTGGCGATTTGGCATTAAATTTAATAGAATGTACGGCAGTACATCCAACGAAATAAATGGTAGTTTACAACACCTACAGGGTCCGGAATTTAAGATACCTATGAGAGCGAATAAGAGGCTGAAAAGATGATAAAAGAGGTACCAAAAACAAAAGATGTCACTAGCTGTAAAGGACGAAGGACGAAATGGAATTTAGTAGAAGAGGCACGACAAGTAGCCGCTTCAGGATTCTTCTGTTTAAAACGGTGACAAAGAAGAAATAAGTTAGTAATTTCGCTGTTATCTCAGCTATATAGAACTTTCACGCGAGCATTACTCAACAAATTGTCATACAGAACAGAGTGAAGGACGTGAACAAGTAGGGTTTTGGAAAAGGCATTTCACAATCGATCACATCCACGCTTTGAGAGCAACTACTTGAAAAAAGTAGAGAATTCCTACTTGCCGGTATGCTGCCTTTCTGTGGACATTGTGAAGGCTTTTGACACAGTGCAGACGGACGTGATTCTTAACTCCCTTCGTCAACTCAGGATTAGCTCCACTTACGTCAATATTACTGCTTAAAAGTACCGAGGAAGCGCTGCCAACATAAAGATGCTCAACGAAGAATGCGGACTCGACGTAACACGAGAAGTGTGACAAGGAAACTGTATTTCACCAAAACTACTGTCTGTAGTAACCAAGTGTATTTCGAAATCTGGAATGGAATAAATCAGGAGATCAAAGTGGATGGAACAATGCCCACACATCTATATGCGGATGATTGTATCTTATTGGCATCAACACGAAGAAAGCCTTGTGGATGAAGACCTAGCAATGAGAGATCGCTCAATTCCTCAGCACAATGATCCTCCAATAATCACATATGCATCACAAACCTGGGCGACAATCGGAAAATGATGACAAAAGGTTAGCTGTAACACAGGCATATGGAAAGATGAATGTGTGAATTTTCCCTGAGGGACCGTGCAACTAACGAAGAGCTCAGAAAACGCTCAATGTTGATGACCTTTTCAAAACCATACATCGAAAGAAACAAGGGCTGCACACGTTGCAAGATATAAGGATAACAGATCAGGTTGGAATGATACCCTCGAGGACACAAACGCCCTGTGGAGTCATCCGAAGATGAGATGGTGCGATCCAATGGTACAGTTACATGGTCACCAATGGACAAGAATAGCACAAGACAGAGAAAGATGGAAAGGTTCCGATTTGCAAACATAGAGGAATGTTTCAAGACGAATCGCTTAAAGGACGAATTCACGCTGGAAAGGCAACCCATTTCAAATTAACTTAGGGATGGTGAGTGGTACACGAAAGAAGGAAAAACCATGAGAAACGGCCCAGAACCCGAGAAATGGGACCCCTTCCTTGCCCGTTGATTTGAGCATTGATGCGTGCCCTCTTCAACACTACGCTCTCTCACCTATCTAATCACTCGCCACGTATAGACCTGCGGCGAGTGATCAGATGATCGGTGGGCGTGCACTGGCCCACCGCGCCAAGATTGAGCCTTAATAGGTCGCCGAGGTCAACTCCTTCGGTGCCAATTGCGCTCTTAGGAGGTCCGCGGGTCCCTCAACTAGGTGAATTATTGAGTGTAAAAGCATCGTGCTTCTCAAATCAAATAGTACGCCCCGCTACTCGTTTTCGTTCGCTGACCCGTCTGTGTCTCTACCTTTTCACCCGCGACAGATCTCCTGCCTGAAACCTTGCCGCGCCCAGAGTTAGCTTAAAGTCATCTTGCTTTAGCTCGTTGGTAGAAAAAATGAAAAGTTCACAGTTGATCCTCAGCATGCCTTACAGTGAAGCCTGCTCTCTATCATGTGCGGATGCGACTCAGCTCTGTCGGTACATGTCCTCTAAGTCAATTTATTAACTTTGTTTTATTTCTCACTCATGCATATTTTTCTAGCCATTATACTCATGTTTAAGCACAAAATAGAAATGGATAAGTCAGTAAAACTTCAGTGCTTGGCCTCATCGGAGGAGCAGCCGCTACCTTTTCGGCAATTATGGAACTGTCAACAACTAGCTTTCAAATGCCTTGCTACGTCAATATCTTTATTCATGAGGTATTTGATTTTTTAAATAAACCTTGAAGCTTAGGGCGTGATCAATCACTTCATTTCGCCGAGCATTCTGTTTCTGCCCAGAGTCTTAGTGGTATTTAAATGCGGTACAGCCTACACAATGGTTTGCTGGGGCCACTCGACCTTTAGGATGCACCAAAATTACTTGTTCAAAGTTGTACAGCTTGACTTATTGATTTTTCGCAGCGATGATCTGCCAATTAGTCGCCAACCTCTTATGCACCTCTTCTATCAGAAATCTCGGCTACAATTATCTGCTTCGCTTCATTTCAAAATGGTTGGACTCTCCTCCCGAACCACGTTCATTTATTGCACAAGTCGGTCGCTGTTCAAAAATCATCGATAAATTTCTGTCGTTCAGCAAAACAATTTTGGGGTTCACCATCAAACAGTTTAAGAACCTCCCAACTACGGAAGATCGCAAAGGAGGACGAAGAAAAGCACGTGCAAATTCCATGAGAAAAGTTAATCGTCCGAGAAATGGTGTGACGTAGTCCAAAGAGGGTCGATGAGGAAGATAGCCCAAAAGATGGGAATAGGTCGTATTTCAGCGTGCTTCATTGTTAAGGAGAAGCTGGGAGTTAGACTTTATCGATGTCTGGAGTCTACCTTCTCAATACATCTGTAAAAAAAACCGGACCAGAAGTGCGACATGCTCTTCGAACTGCTTGTCGGCGCGTACCGAATCATGTCTTCTCTGATGGGAAATTGTTCACTCAATCGTCAGAACGATCGCATGCTCTGCTCGACAGCTGAGGAAGCAAACGAGAAGATGAGAATTTACGAACTTTCCGGAATTGCAGATGAAATCATTGTTTGGGACCGATAGCCTGCGAAGCCAAGTCCCCACTGGTTTTCATCTGGTAGATGTTAAAATTGTTACGGATCCAACTTGGAAAGCGTGCTGAAAAGTGTCTTGGTTTTCTGGACAGATTTCGGCTCCAGACCGTTCGCGCAGTAGATCATAGGTTGCAGGTGACCCGGCAGTGGTGCAAAGACATCGTCCCAGGCTCCATCGGCGCACAAGAATGGCCATCCAACAGTCCTTATGTGCTTCCAATGAATTATTCTGAATGGTCCTTGGGTTTCGAGGGTGGAGTGCTTTCGAAGTCCTGCTCAGCAACCAGCGCACCTTTCGTCGTGAAAGCGCACACCTCGCTTCCCTGGCAGCCAAGTAACTGATTCGTGTGGTGCATATGCTTCCCCGATGCGCCACCTCTTTATCGTAACCGCTGCCTTTAGATATGCTTCAACAACCGATCACGCGCTCTGCTCTTTCAGCTATTATCATGTGATTGAGAGTGCATTTTATAAATTTCAGGTAGGGCATCAAAATTTGATCCGCTCTTATTTTCAGAGGCACCCAGAAGACAGTGGAGCAAGTACGTATTGTTGTGGTCCCTATCAGAATATCACTCATGACGGTCGCACGGAACAATGCGTCCCTATGCCGAAAGTTCCATTTTATAGCTGATTCACATTGTTTGTATTTCTCTCAGTAGAAGAGAAGTTGTGCAAGGCTTATAAGTAGGGCAGTCTCATGAAAATATGGCCATCAGTAGAGGTTGTTACGTTTTTACTTTGATATTCCACGAAAACCCTTCTCATAGAATGACCATGGCGAAAACGATATCCAGTAGGAATGCTGGCGGAGAGTTTTTTTTTGCATTTCCAGAGGTTTTCTTGAGGCTTTTCTTGGAAAATGTTCTGGAGAGCAAGTAAAAAGCACTGGTTTCCCCGCCATTGATCGTCTCAAGAGAGCTCCGCATTACTTAGAGACTTTTCCAATGGTGCAGATGTTTTCAGCGTTTATCCAGTTTCGCACCCAAATGGGAGACGTTCAGTGCTCCTCCTAGGTCAAGTCACTAGAGCTGCACGATGAGTGAAATCTGAGGATAGGCTTACACATTGGCTTATGCTTGCCCTAGGCTAGGCCTAGGCTTACCATAGTCGTAGCCTCACTACAAGCGAATCAGAGTTGTCCATTTCTGAGACGACCTGGCCTGAGGAGGAAAACTGCAACGTCTCACCCAACTTGGCAGGCATCCTTTCACTTCTTGATTCGCTTTTATTCATTCTCCAAGATGTATGTACAATCACGTTTTGTAAAGTTATATAAGACGATACTTTGGAAATAAAAAAATTCTCTTGAAATATTCGTTTTCTTTCCGGCCATTTTCGTATCTGCTTTGTTATGATAAAGGATGCCGAGTGATATATGAATTCATAGTTTCTCTTTCTGAAATTTGCTAAAGAGTAGCATGATGATTGGGGATAATTGCTGAAAAGTGATCCAAATAGGACTATGGAGCTTTATCAAAAGAAGCTGCACAAAAAAAGCTCTATGTCGCAACAGAAAACGTTGGAACGCTCTTTCCCATAATATAGGAAAGAAGTGTAATTGCTCTGATTGGGGTTGTTATTCTTTTACGTCGGAATTTATCACCTCGCCTAACACGTGTTTCTGCTTGAAAATCGTGCCATTGTTGTTCCGAATGCATTTGATATGGGCAATTTCATTGTAGTTGTATATTTTACGATTCAACGAAGCAACAAAGGATCTCCCTCCAATGTTCCTGTCCTCTCACAACCTAAAGTGATAAGGCTTTCTACTGGAAACGTAACAAAAAGTCACCCCGCAATGTCGCGCGCGTTGCGATTTGTTTGCAATGTGGGTGCAATACAAGTGGGATCGGCGCGCCGTCCTTTTTGAGTAAGGTGGGCAAGTGCATGTAAGTGAAGACTGCTGGTCGATGCAATGATGTTGAGTTGAGTTGTTGCAATGATGAATTGGGGGAATTTGGGAGCCATAGGGAGTGTAGCCAATGTAGGGGTGGGGTAGTGGGGGAGGAGATAAGCAAACATGGCGTTTTGAATTTCGCAACGATACGCGCCACGGCGCGAAACGCGCCGCTTGGGCGCTGGGTCATATGAGGGCGGGGCCTCATATGATTTCTGAGCCATTCCGGCTTTTTCGGCAGATAGTGCGGCGGTCCATTCCTATGGCGGACCATAACGACGAGCAAGGGCATGTGCCCGAAGCGACAGAGGAGGTATTCCAGCTACGACGAGAGGACCTCGAGGATCTACTAGCCCAGGCGAGAGAAGCAGCTATCGCTTCCTCCCATCCCACGCCACCGGTCTCTACCGGCCTAGGCACTTCGTCTAAACCATCCTTCAAGAAAAGTGGACTGAGTAGACAGTTCGACTTCAACGGAGGATTGATTGATATTCTGTCTTCTGTTGCCGAGATAGCTCCACGTGAAGGAGATATAAGGGCAAACATTCAGAAGGCTGTTACGCTTCTCAGCCAGAGAAACGAGCTATTGATTATTGCAGACTCTGATCCGGAGGTTTTCGATTACTATGATCAGCACGCTAAAGCTGAAGGTCTAAAAACCTCTAATCCCATTCTTGCTTCGTTTCTCAAAGAAAAGAGGAAAAAGGAGTCCAACAAGGCAGTTTTGCCTAGATCAGTAAATTGGAGTAAGTTCTCTAATGGTTCTCTTTTGAAGAGTAAGATCGTTGATAAGTCTAGTTATTTTCGTGTCATGTATAATTATAAATGTTCTGTTCAGAACCTCGTTTTATGTCAGCAGTACAGGGCAGACAGCCCTTCTCGGTACGGAGGGGCGTCCTGGGCCCGCGCCCCTCCGGCCGACCTGCCTTCATTTCAAAGACATCAGTTTCGTCCTGCGGAGAGAACCGCCCAAGCTGGCAGGCCGAGAGACATGTGTTACAACTGCGGCCGATTCGGGCATTTTGCACAAGATTGTCGCGCCCCAGCAAAAATGTGAAGGTCAGTTCCGTGCAGGAAATATTCATTATAAGTGGGACTTTTGGTCTACTTTGAATATGTCCTCTTTTGTGAGGGTTCTGTTGCGTGACGGTTATGTTCCTATTCTCGAGGAAGAGCCTCAAGAGAATTTCGCAAGACCTAACTCCATCTCCACCCTTGGTCACGGGGATTTCGTGGATTGCGAAATCCATCACATGTTACTCAGCGGGGCAGTTGAGGAGGTGGAATTTCGCAATAGAGCAAAGCTGAGGATTAATCCGTTATCGATTGCGGAGGGTAAAAAGCTCAGGCTTATTTTAGATCTCTCTAATCTTAATAAGATAGTGGGAAAATCCAAAATCAGGTTTGAAGATCTGTCCAAAGTTCTCCCGGCTCTACCAAAGGGGGGATATATGGCATCATTCGATCTTAAGTCCGGTTATCACCATGTCAAAGATACACCCAGCCTACACCGATCTCTTGGGGTTCAAATGGGGACACAAGTTTTACAAGTTTTTGGTTCTCCCATTCGGTCTCTGCTCAGCTCCCATGGTTTTTACTAAGCTTCATGAGACCACTGTTGAGTAGGTGGAGGTCACAAGGGATTAATATTGCAGTTTATCTAGATGATGGCCTGATATGGTCAAGTTCCGCACGCGGTTGCGAAGAATCGATACAGTCGGTTAGAGAAGATTTGAGACATGCCGGCTTCTTTATGGCCGAAGATAAATGTTCCTGGAGCCCTCTCCAGAAGCTAACTTGGTTGGGTCACGTTATCGATCTAAGAGAATTTTCTGTGAACATTACCAAGTCAAGAGAAGAGAAGGCTCGTGGCCTAGCTAGAAGTTTGCTTTTGAAGAGAGGTCCTTCCCTATTAGAAAGAATGAAATGGCAAGGTACTTTTGCCTCTATGCATCTTATCATTCCTCCAGGTCGGAGACGGAAGTGGAGAGCGATTGGGACGGCTCGCTGAGAAAGAAAAGAAAGGAAGTGCTTTATCCTATAGATGGCCTCTATCGAAAGGAGAGAAGGCTGAATTGAGAGGTTGGTTAACCTGGAGTCACAATTTTGTAGGTAGGCCTATTGAAGACACGGTCCATCTTTCATGTGCCTTGATATCGTTTTCGGATGCTTCTGAGTTTGGGGCAGGCGCGGTTCTTTATTTAGACAATGATTCGAAGATCACCTCTTCATCCAACCTGCC